AAACCCACCAACTGCTCCTCAGAAACCTCATACAAGGTCACTATGAGTTGGAACCGACTCAACAGCACTTAACAACAATAGTCGTAAGTCTCATCAGTACCTTAAAATTATCAGCAGTATCAAAATTTTTGTGGCTCACCATCCCTACCATAAAGTATCCCTGAGTCTACATTCTAGATTTGTGTCAATAACTTAGACCTACTCATACTCACTCAATCTCAAATCCTTGAAACAATCATAGATTCCTCCGTGTTTCTCATCTTTTACTCCCCCTCCATACACACACCTTATTTCTTTCTCTGTATTTTGATTCATCTGTTAGTTATACTCCAGTAGTTCTCCTACACTTCTTCCCCTTCATATGCAATGATCCAGAATCTTGGTGTGCCTCTGTAGGATAAGCACTGGACTGCTAACTGCAAAATCCGCAGTTCAAACCCACCTACTGCTCCTTGGAAACTCTATATAAAGTCACTATAAGTAGAAACTGACTCAATGGCACTTAGAAACAAAAGCAACAGCCAATGCTCCAATGAAGGCAGCCTTTATTTCTTGCATATTCTAACTGGTTCCCCCTGATGAAAACCTCCTACTCACCACTCCCAGGGTTACTTTCTATAAAACTACATGGATTGTGTTACTCCCCAATCAAAAGACTCTATGACTATCCTGGTATAGCACTGTAGGATAAGTATTGAACTGCAATGTCGGTTTGAACCATAAGGCCAGCGGTTCAAACTCACCAATGGCTCCTCAGAAACCCTACACAGGGTCACTGTGAGTCATAACTGACTAGATGGCACTTAACAACATCTTGCTTTAATGGACTCCTGGTATTGTGATATAGGACTGGGGACCACCAGGTAAGCAGTTCAAATCCACCCGCTGCTCCTTGGAAATCCTTTACAGGGTATCTATAAGTCTGAACCAACTTGACGGCACTTAACAACAACATTAAGCCTGCTTTAAAGATGAACCCACAGACAGAGATAAAGGACGACGTGTGCACAGCCTTGGAGCTCCAGGGCTCTGAGATACAGGGATTGACCCATGGTTGTAATGGGCAGGGAATCATATTAAGATGCTTGACTGTTTTTTTGAATCTTGGTTTCCCTTGCATTATAATATAGAGTAGACACTGGAGGGGGAGAGAAAGGAATA